CGGCCGCTCTCGGTCGAGCCGGACCGCTCGGTTCGGGGGCGCCGGCGGCGGCGGCGGCCGGCGGCGGTCTCGTCGACTGTGAAAGGCCCCGCAGGAAGTGGGCCGGACGCAATGCCCCAACTTGACCCCGGCCTCCCCGGCGTCCCGGCACCCGCGCGCGCTTTAGGACCTGCGAGTGTAGAAAAGAGGGGGGAATGAACAACACGCCGCCAGGATTACGGTTGGTGTGTGGACTTGACTTTTCTTTGCCGCGACGCGTCGTTTTGCTTTGCTTCAGCGGGGACGTCTTTGTTTGGCATTCGGGACTCCGGCGGCTTCGTCAATGCTCTTCCAGAAGTATTTGCAGTGCAGGGTGTGTTGTCATCACTTTCTGACTTTTGTGTTGTGTTCCTCTCGCCCTTCCGTCGGCCGATCGGATGTTTGTGTCAACCGCGCCGATAGCGATTTGGGCTCGATATGCCGCCGAGCGCCAACGCGAGCGGCGAGCCGCGCCGGGGTCGGGGCCGGGGCTCCCGCGAGCCCTCGCCCCGAGAAGACGTTGTCCGAGCGGCGAAAGGCGAGCTTTGTGTCTTTGTAGCATGTTTGTGGCCAGGCTGAGCGCTGGAGGTTGCGTTTTTCGCTGACAGAGTCCTGTGGGGATTAGAACGCAGGGAGCAGCCGGCCCGCGGGGCCATTGTTGGCCGGCCCCTCTGTGTCTACTGAGCGAGTCAATTGATGCGAAGATAAAAGGCCCCCAAATATGCATTGACACGGGCTTTGGGGACGAGCGGGCGGAGGGCGCTTCTGTGTCGCTGGTGTCATGCGGGCCCACAAGCGCCCCGGACGCGGACCGACGGCCCAAACATGTCCTTAAACTACATCAAGAACTTCTACGAGGGATGCGTAAGTCGCGCCCCGCCGTTTCGGGTGCTCCCGAGCCGTCTCCGGCGAGAGTTGAAAAGCCAAAAAAAAAAAAGGCAAAGGGGTACAACGAAGAGGCCGAGGAGATCGTTTGCGTCGACGGCGGCGTTTTCGGCGATTCGCGCGGCCGACAAAAGAAACGTCGACGTGGCCTCCGCCTCCGTCCGCGCGCGTGTCCGTCGGCGCGTCGCGTGCGTATGCCGTCGAAGCCGCCTGACGCCTGCGCGCGTGTTGCAGCTCAGGCCTCCGACGGTGATCGGCCAGTTCCACACCTTGTTCTTCGGCTCGGTGCGGATGTTCTTCCTGGGCGTTCTGGGCTTCGCCGTGTACGGGAATGAGGCGCTGCACTTCAGCTGCGACCCCGACCGCAGAGAACTCAACCTGTACTGCTACAACCAGTTCCGACCCATAACGCCTCAGGTACGGCGCGCCGCGGCGAAGCGCCTCGCGCGCGGCCTCGCCGTTGCCGTCGACGCGGTCTTCCCTTCCGTCTCGTCCCGCAGGTGTTCTGGGCCTTGCAGCTGGTCACGGTGCTGGTCCCGGGGGCCGTGTTCCACCTGTACGCCGCCTGCAAGAACATCGACCAGGAGGAGATCCTGGAGCGGCCCATCTACACCGTCTTCTACATCATCTCCGTGCTCCTGCGCATCATTTTGGAAGTCATCGCCTTCTGGCTTCAGAGTCACCTCTTCGGCTTCCAGGTCTGAGCGCTTTCGACCTCGTTCTCCTTTGCCGTCGAGGACCTTCTGCTCGAGGCCCTCGGGGGCCGCCGAAGTCCCCTTCCGGGCTCCCCTCCGCCGGCCGCCCGTGCGCTTGAGGAGGGTCGCGTTCCAAATTCCGCCGTTGCTTTTGAAATCCGGAACCGGTCTCCCTCCGAGCCGTTCCGTAGCGTCCGTCGGAAACACTCGCCCTTGAATCCAAGGTTAGGGTTCAAGGCGGGGCGTCCGGCGGCAGCTCCGGCCGGAACTCCTTCAACAAATCGGAAGAGTCCGGGCGCCCGAGTTGAACCTTTTGCGGATCTTCTCCTTTTCCCTCTGGCGCGTGTGTTTCAGGTGCACCCGCTCTACATGTGCGATGCCAGCGCTTTGGAAAAGACCTTCAACGTGACCAAGTGCATGGTGCCCGAACACTTTGAGAAGACCATCTTCCTGAGCGCCATGTACACCTTCACCGTCATCACCATCCTCCTGTGCGTCGCCGAGATCTTCGAGATCCTCTGCCGACGCCTGGGCTATCTCAACAACCAATGACCCCTCCCGCGCACGGACGCCGAGCGTCGCCGGCCCCTCGCCGCGTTCCCGCGCCTTTTGTTCCTCGTCGGCTTCTCGGTTAGCGACTGCCGGATACTCGCGCCGAGCGGGAAGCCAACGCAAGTGCGCTCGTGAAATAGTCCCGCTTTCCCTCCCGCGGGACCGGCGGCACAACAACAAGAGGGACGCGTCGACCGGACGCCGGGACCGTGCCGGCGAGCCGTCCGTCGGGAAGCGGGCCGCGGGCGCGCGAGCGGCGAGGAAGGACGGGCGGCCGACCCCGCGTCCCGTCGTGACCCCGACCCCGACCGCGTCGACAACTTGTAGATAGGAAACGCCTCCCCGAAACGGACCTTGATCACTTCAAGCGTTTCCGCTTTGAAAGCAAACATTTCTTTCCCGCGCTTGTTGTCACCAATCATCGCTCGCTTCCGGGTCACGATCGACTGGTGTCGCGTTCGTAGGCAAAGATTCAGAGAGAGAAGTTGGTGTCGAACGACGGACTTGTCGACGGGAACGAGTCAAAGGCGGTCCGAGCTCACGGAACAATAACGACGAGGAGACGACGTCAAACGCGTTCCCGTTTTTCGACCCTTTTGGTCGCATTTAGAATGTCGTAAGATGAATTCACTGTCCGTGTCGAGACTTGGCAAAACGCTGTTTTTATTTTCTTGATCAGACATCCATCCAACTTTTGTTGTGAAGGTTTCATCTGTTTTTCATCTCAGGTACAAACTTGCACGAGCGGACAAAAGCGGCTCGCCGGGAATGCTTTTCGAGGGGATTTGCGGGCGGGCGCCGCTGCGTTTTCTTGTGCGCGCGGGCTTAGGCGTGCTCGTAGGATTTCCTTCCTGCTCAGCAAAACAAGGTTGTTCGAGGATGCGACAACACCTGTGCGACCGTGCTCCAAACCGACAAACTCAAATTCAAAGTGTAGCTTCTATCTTTACACGTGTCTGTTGGAAACAATCGCAATCCGTGGCAAGATGGATCTATTTTTCTTCTTTCTTCTTCCCTCTGGAACATTTTGAACATGATTGCGCGTAGCAGCTTCCGGTCGCTTCTTCGCAGAAACTTGACCACAGCCTCTCTGGTGCTATTAGCGATTCCTCGTGCACACATTTGTGTCGCCGGCGGGTGGTGAAGGTCTTTCTCGGTTGATCGATGTCATACCTGCGGGTCAGAGCTAGCGGGCTCGTAAGCCGGCTGCCAAAGTGCTCCGAACAAGATCGCGTCGCGTGATCCTGCGGCACAACCATGGCGACTACTACCTCAGCAACCGAGTCGACGCGGAGACACCATCAAGGTGCTAAAGTAGCTAGCGGGTAGTCGGGCGGCCGACACCTTTGACATGCTCCGCCGGACAGCGGCGAGCTAGCCCAACGGCTGATAGCTTCAATGCGCTAGCCCGGCGGCTTCATGATGTTCCTAATTTATTTCATTTCAACGTGTGGAATGAGTGACTGACCTCATACATTTCAAATAAATTTGCTTTTTTCATATTACGGACTTTTGCTCCGTCTTCATCGGTCGCTTGGTTGTCAGAACTCGCGACTGCAGTTTGCGTTTCAATTGTTGACGCCTTGTGTTTTTCGTCCTTCAGTGTGTGGGAAGTACGAAACAAATCTTACAAGAACGCACTGAGGAACTACAGTATGCTTCTCTGAATTCTGTACGTTTTTGTCCAAAGTTGAACATGTCCCATGGCTCAGTTTTGATTGACGAGCTTTTCTCAACATTTTAGGAAGGAAGTGAAAAGCCGCGCTTTTATGTGCTGAACGACTGAACAGTGGCAGGTACCAGTTAAGGTTGCTCACAGTTTAATCTATATTTACCATTGAAATCTATATTTCATAACTATGAAACACACAGCGGACGTCGGAAGTTTCAACTTGAATTTGAACTCAACGGAAGGAGAAGAAGAAGAAGAGGAGGAGGAGGGGCGGGTGACGTCAAGGCAGAGGCCGCTCCTTATTGGAGCGACACGCGGAAGTGCAGCGAGCAGTCGCGGGCTAGCCACCACCACCACCACTAACAACAACAAGAACAAGAACAAGAACAGGAGGCGGAAGAGAGGATCAACAAGAAGAAGCCGTCCGTGTTTTCGAGCTCGGTGGGTCGCTCGCGGATGCCATGGCGGCACCGGCCCAGCTCAAAGCAGTCCAGCACCACTTGCGCACCGCCCAAGAACACGAGAAGCGCGACCCCGTGGTGGCCTACTACTGTGAGTGTGCTTCGTCTGACGCGCTCGCTTTGCTTTGGCCGCCCAACTCCTTCGCGACGGCGCTCGCTTCGGTTCGCCCGGGCGCGGCGACGGCCTCCTATGTTTCGCCTCTGACGTCGAGACTTGAATCGACAGGCTTCCTCGTCTCTTCGTTCTTTGCGTCGGGCTCCGGGAGCCCAATCGCCTCGTCCAAAGTGTTCGGGCCTTCGCGACGATCGGCCACCCGCCTCCTGCCTCCGTTCCAATCCTCCCCCCGTTCCAAGTTCCCCCCCCCCCCGCCACCACCACCACCACCACACCTGTTTCAAACCAGCAGCTCATCGGCGGGCGAAACGGCCACGATCGATTGAATCAGGTGCGGCCGAGTTGGAAAACGGCCGGGAGACGGCCATACTTGGACTAAAAGCCTCTTTTGGTCAAGTCCCATTTGAAACGCTGTCCTAAGTAGGAGGACGCTCGCGTCGTCCTGTGGGTCAATGCCGAAGAACCGATCCGAGGAACCAAAAACTCAGGCGAGCTCAGACGCCTCGCTAACCGATCCTTGAGTATGTCGCACCACGCGGGCTGCGACGCAGCAAGACGACTCCAAATCGGCTACGACGCGTCCGCGGGCTCGAAATCGGGCGACGTCGGCGTAAAGCGGCCGATTTTGGACGAGAGGCGGGCTGCGCCTTAAACCGGTTGGCAGACAATCGCAGGACAGAAAATGGACAAACGAGCCGCCTTCATCGGGCGCCGCGCCATCCGACGCAACGTCCGCCGATGGGACGAAAAAGACTCGCGATGTCTTTGAGGCCGGCCTCGTTTTCATTGGTTCGTCGTGCGCCGCGACTGCCGATAGTTGTGCGAATCCCTCCGTCTGTTTTGGAAGCCGCGCGGGGGACGCCCTCAACCGGTTGGCGGCCCGTCGTCGGGGGCGCGTAAACCACCATTGGTGCTCACGATCGCACTGAACGACAATTTCAAGTGTTCCATGAACCTGCCCCCCCCCCCTCCATGTTATTTGGAACGTGGGAGGAAAGCCGAGTACCCGGAGAAAAGCCACCCGAGCGCGGGAAGATGACGCGAAACAGGAAGGCCAGAATCAAACCCTGCACCGCTGCACTGCGAGGCAGATGCGCTAACCCGTCGATCGACGCCGCGCCGGCCGTGCGAATGAAACGCGCCCGCCCTCAACGAACCTGCCGGACGAGCACGTCGTCACGCGGACGACGTCAACCGTGAGGAATGTGATCCGGCTTGCCGGGACACGCGAAATGCTCGGCTCACTTTCCGTAGTCTTCCCGCTCGTCACTTTGCGATCCGAGTGCCGCGCGTCGGCCGTGAAGCCGCGTGGTTTTCTTGGTCGGCTCGATGCGCACAAAGCCCGTCAAACACCACAGATGGTGTGACGTCGGGCGTTCACCTTTTAAGCGGCGGATAGTTCTCTTTCGCGCGTGTTCAAAACGCAGCATTCTACGGTTCTATTTTTGTCAAATACATCGGCAACATTTATTGATTTTTTTTTTTTTTTTTTTTTTTTTTTTTGTCCAGAGTCAAAGCTGAATGTGAATTGTCATGAGCAAATCTCCGTTGCATTTACTGTTTTTTCAAATGAACGGAAAGGCAATGACGACGAGCAGCAAAATGCCGTTGACGGTCTTCTGCTTGCGTTTGTTCCTCCGCTCGGCGCCGGACCCGCCAACAGGCCGGCTGTACGCCATGCAGACGGGAATGAAGCTGGACAGCAAAACGCCCGAGTGCCGCAAGTTCCTCGTCAAGCTGATGGACCAGCTGGAGTCGGTCAGTCCCTCCCTCCTCAAGCCTTTTTGCACGACGACACTCGCGTCACGTCACGTTCACGCCAGGCCCGCACGCGCCTCCGCTTACATTTTACGACCTGAACGTCACGCGTTTTGCTTTTTTTCTATTGTCCGAAGTCAAAGCTGAATATGACAAAACTCAAAGCGGGCACGTTGTCTGCGTCCGCCGTGGTGAAGAGGGAGCCGAGCCGGAAGGAAGCTTTGGCTTTCCCGCTCCACGGACGGCCGGCCCCCCCCCCCCTCCTCGGCCAAGGGCGCGAGCGCAAGAACAAAATCCGGGCAGCGAGCGGCCGGGACGCTCGCCGCCCGGATGATTTGGCTCGGGCGTCGCGTCGGGATGCCGAGCGGGGAAGGCCTCCCCGGTGAGGACGGCGCCCCCCGAGGACGAGATGGCCCAAGCGGCTGGGGAGGGGGAAACCTGGGCTTCCCTGGTCAAGCTGCTGCCCCGTGACCCGACCTCAACGACAATCATGATGAGGCGCAGAAAAAAAAGTGGCGTGTTTCCGCTAACCCGACCGACCGAGAATTTCGACCTCGAAAAAAAACTTTGCGGTCGGCATTTTTTTTCAAACAACCCTCGACGTTTTTGTGGATCAACTCAAAGAATGCTCGCCCACCGTTCGTTTTCTCTCAAATGATTTGGCGCGCTCGAGCCGACTGAGGAAGCAGCGCCAAGCGTTTGGAGCCACGTCGGCCCGAGCCCACGTCGTCTTTACGGGCTCGTTAGGACAGGAAGGGGGCGGACCCCGGCGGGGCTCTCGCTACCCGAGCCGCCCGCGACGGGCGCTGCGATGTCATCGCGTGAGATCGTCAGTGGCGGCCAAAGTCAAAATAAAAAAAGGAAAGACTCTCCAAAAAGAAAAAAAAAAACCGAGTCAGTAGTGGAGCAAACAATTCGG